TAATCATTATAAAACTACCCTAAGACTATAAATAATCTTATTAACCGATCGAAGACCTTTTCTAAATAAAATTAGATACTAATCTAATCTATTTAAAAAAAAAAAAAAAAAAAAGAAAACAATTACAAGTGAACAAAGGAACAAAACCATAAGATAAAAAACAAAAGTTCGTTTGATGATCTATAGGTATACAAAATTGTAGGGTTGATTGGGTTGGTTGATGGAAAAAACAAAAAATTAATAAAAGATAGAAGGTTGAGGTGGAGGGCGGTTAGATGATATTGCCTATTGATGCTGCTGTTGCTACTGATGATGCTAAGATTGATTGGTTGGTTGATGGGTTGGTTGGTTGATACAAAAAAAAAAGGATTAAAATAAAATAAGTGTATAATATTAAAAAAAAAATAAGAGAAAAAGGTGAGGTTAAGGGGAGAGATGATGTTGGCTACTGATGTTGCTGTTGGTACTGATGATGCTGATGCTGATGCTGCTGCTGCTGCTATGTCCGGGAACTGTTCTGCTCTCCGTTCACTATCGATCTTTCAGCAGAGAAGCTCGACACGAGCGTTCCACGCAGAGTCAAACCAACACACATACACATACACACATATATATATATATATATATACATACATAGGATACATATAAAACACCCACACGTAGATACAAACACAGATGAACGATCGAAGCCGGTATCCTCCCTGCTTTATTCTTCATCTCACTCACTCATTCACTTCACTCACTTATTCTATCTTTGTCTCTCTCTCTCTCTCTCTCTCTCTCTCTGTTTCTGTCTCTTGGGTTTTAAGCTTTCAGGGGTAGGTAGAGGTAGTAGATATAGAATAAAATCTCTCTCTCTCTCTCTTTCTCTCTCTCACACTCGTATATATGTGTATATGTTAGAGTATATGAGTGAGAGAGAGAGAGAGAGAGAGAAAGCGTAACACACCGGGCAAGCTCCGATGTGTTTGAAGAACACCCATCGGAGGGTTGCCTTCAGTAAGCTTGGAGCTTTCGCTCGGTCCAGGCAGGAACAATCCATCCTCCTAGTGGGATCCTCTCTCTCTCTCTTTTTTTTTTTATTATTCTCTCTTTAACATTAATAAATAATTATCATATAACATATCCAATGTAACCAGTCAAACCTCCTCTCAGAGTCACTTAATACGACATTTAATAAAAATTATAATAATATTTGTATTTATTTGAAATATTATTCAATATCAAAAAGAAATAACTAGCGCGAGAGAGAGAAAGTGTGTGTGTGTGTATGTGAGTGTGTGTTAGAGAGAGAGAGAGAAAGAAAGAGAGAGAAGAGGGGTTGTAAAACAAAAAAGGAGGGGGGAGGAGGAAATAAAAAAAAAAGGAAAAATATATATATATATATATATATTTTAGAAAAATGTCGAAAAATTTGTTGAGAGTATGCGTTATCGTATTCGCGCCACCGGATCGTCGTCGAAAGAGGATGATCGATCATCGTTCTTTCCTCTTCCGACCTTGAGGTTAGAGTTACGAGAAAGAAAGAGAAAAAATAAAAGGAAAGAGAGAGAGAGAGAGAGAGAGAGAGAGAGAGACTTATTCAGAATAGGTTGAACTTTAAAAGAAGACAATTACTTTCGGTATAACGTGAAATATTAGCAATGTGAATTATTTGCAGTGTTGTTTATGTGAATACATGTGTGTGTGTGTATGTGTGTTTGTGTATATTGAAATGATTTTTAATTAATTCATCGATTAATGGAAAATTGTGAGATTTAAATGAACGATCTATGTGTAATCATATTAATGTAATTAAATAATAATTAATAATATTAATAATAATAATAATAGTGATGATGATTAGATCGTGATGATGAGGATGAGGATRAGGATGAGTTTAATGATTTGGATTGGTTTTGTTTTATTGAATCGACATGATTTATAAAATGAGAGATTAATAAAAAAATAAATAAGGATTAGTTTTATTTGTGAAATTGATATAAAATATTTAAAGAGAGATGATTAAATATATTAGAATGTGTTATGTTCTCATATGAGTGTTCTTCAATCGAGAGTACGTATGGACCACAAGACACGTGCTAGAAGAATGCGGTAACACGCGTTTCGTGTTGAAATACTTGTCACAAAATCAGGGAATTTTGTAATACCATTTTATTGTTATATTACAATCACGATTTAATCATTATATTAATAATAATAATAATAATATTAATTTAATATATTTAATTAATATTATTCTATAAATTAGATTAATAATTAATAGAAATGAATTGATTTAATTAAAAAATGAAATCAATACAATTCAATTAATATCAATAATAATAATAATATTAATTATTATATTTAATTAAAATTATTATCTAAATTATATTAATAATTAATAGAAATGAATTGATTTAATTAAAAAATGAAATCAATACAATTCAATTAATATCAATAATAATAATATTAATTATATATTTAATTACAATTATTATATAAATTGTATTAATGATTAATATATTAATATATTAAATATAATAATTTGTAAATTTAATTAATCATAAAATAAAATAAATAAAATTCAATTAATATCAATAACAATAATATTAATTAATATATTTAATTAAAATTATTATATAAATTATAATAAATATAAATATAAATGAAATTATTTAATTGAAAAATTGAAATCAATAAAATTCAATTAATATCAATAATAATAATAATAATAATAATAATTAATAATTATAAAATGTGTTAAAAATATAAATCATTCGAATTGGGACGTAATGAAATGTGTAAATGTGATTTTTTTCTTTTTTTTTTTTTTTAGGTATAAAGTTTGTAAAACAAAATTCGAATTTTAATAGAGTTCTTGAAATAATAATAAATAAACATTAATTTAAAGTGTATGTTAAGTGTGTACTGTAAGTGCGTGTCTGCTGTAGTATAATCTGTGAAAATGTGTATATTTATATATATATACATACAATTTTACACAAATCGATTAAACAACAAAAAATCATTGGAAACGAATACAAACGATGCGGTGGAACTGTAACAAGGTGGTTGTAGGTATACATTTTTATCACTGTACTTGTACTTTGGTTATCATGCACGATCGATAAACCATATCTAAATTCTTTTTTTTTTTCTCTCTCTCAGTTTTTTTTTTTTTTTTTTTTTATCGATAGATACACATTTCCATAATGTTATTATGATAACGATCAATGAAATTATACATTCATGTTCATTATCATGATAGAATTTTTTGTAATAGAGATATATTAAGTAACCAAGATAATTTTCAATATATATATATATATATATATATGGATGTATATTGATTAAAAAGGTACAAACTTTGTTGATTACCTAAAATTATTATAATATATATATATGTAGGGGGGGCCTTCGGGGTAAACACCCTAAAGGGGTATACTTGAAAAAAAAACATCTTCTTCTATATATATATTATTAATATATTATTATATATTATATATATATATATATATATATTAATATTAATATATTATGTTTATATATAATATATTAATATATTATTATTATTATTATTATTATTATTATTATTATTATATATATATAATAATATATTCTATATTAAATGTCAGGTGATGAGAGTAAAGTTTATGGTTTTATAATTAATAAATGTAGATTATACTAAAAAGATATGATAGGAACTGTAGAAAATTTTTTATTTAAATATATTTATACATATATATTATACTTATATATGATATTTAAATATAGTATATCAGATAATCACGAAAGTTTATGCTTTTATAATTAATAAATATAAAATATACCCAAGTCTAGGAACTGTACAAAATTTTTTTATTTAAATATATTTATTTATATATATTATACTTATATATATATATATATTATTTAAATATATTTTCATAATATTGATAATAACAAAAACAAAAGAAACTAAAACAGAACAAAAATAATAGGATTTTGACAAAATTTAAATGAACAATAAAAAAACAATATATATAATAAATCATTAAAACGTATTTATTAAAAATTATAAAAAATATAGAACAAAAATAAATATTAAATAATAATTAATTGACAATTAAATAAGAATTTTCCTAAGTAGAGTCATTGACCTTATGAATAAAAAGAAAAGAAAAGAAAAGGCTTATATATATGTATATATATATAGACTTTTATATATTCGTATGAAATTCGTATGAAACTCGTATGAGACAGCATCGAACTTACCACCCTTACTACCACCCTTTAAGAAGAGGGTTGAGAAATTTAAATGTCTTTCGTGAAAGCTGAGTGGATCTAGTCACCTTATCCCTCAGATATAGATTCTACCCATTTACTATTCTTTGCTTTCATCTCCTACATAAAATCCAATTTTTACTGTATCTTTTTTTTTCTCCTTTCTTTTTTTTTTGTGTTATACCAAATTAATATTAATATACCCAATTTTTATATAATATATATTATATATATATTAGTATATTTATATTTAAGTTAGTTAATAGAGTTATTTATATTAAGTTATTAATATTAGTAAATTTATATAATAATATTTATATATATATTATTATTATTATTATTAATATAAATATAATATATATAAATATATAAATATATAATAATAAAAAAGTAAATTAATTTTAGTTTAAATATAAATTAAATAAAAATTAATATATAATAATAATAATAATAATAATAATAATAATAATAATAATAATAATAATAATAATAATAATAATAATGATAATATATATTTACATTTATATATAAAAAATTATATTGAATATATATATATATATAATATATAAATTTTTTTATTACAAAAAAAAAATATGAATCTATAAAATTATTTATTTACAATATCTAATTAATTTTAGATAAAAAAAAAAAATCAACACATATAAATATATAAATTCAATAACGAAGAGTCTACTTAGAATAAAAAAAAAGGAAAGACGAATTTTTCTTACCTGAAAACGTTTCTACCAATTCGTTAATAATTTATAATAATAATAATTGAAATAACATTAGAGAGAGAAAGAGAAAGAGAGAGAGAGAGAGAGAGATATTAAGAAAATAATTTATCTCTAATGAAAGTAAGATTAACCTGGTACAGGTAGAAATGGAGACCGAAGACGAAATGGATGAGGAATTATCGGAGGAAGCAAAGGAAATGGAGGTAACTATCTGTAATTTGTTTTTGTATAAATTTAACAGAAATTCAATCTTCTGATCATTGAATAATCTCATACTATGACACCTGATTACAGGTAAATCATAATAACAATCTTGAAAATTTTGAATCGATGAAAATCTCATCTGTAACATCGGAAAAAGGAAATGATCAGAACGATCTTTGTGAAATTAGTTTGCACGTTGATACAAACATTGATAGAGAAGAATCAAAATTATCATTAAGTACAAGTATGAAGACTGAAATAAAGGAAAATGAGATCACCAGCAGCAGACTTTGTAGAAGCAAAAGGATCTCTTGTCAGGACACCATACACGAATACGACGAGGATGATGGACTCACCATGAACAGAGTTGGAAGGTAAGATCAAATGATAGGATTGTGGAAAAGGTGGAAAGGAAGGGACTGGTGCCGCAGAATCAAACGGACTTCAGAAGGGGTTTTAGGGATTAAGATAAAATGATATTTTTGTAATAGTAAATTTGACTAATATAAAATTCATTTTTGGAATGTTTACAGATACCTTGAAGCTCATCCAGACCTAGTGGAAATGTGGTTATACGAAAAAGCTAGTGTTGAATTGAGACAACGATTGCACATGCCAATATTGGAACGTACAACTTCAACTTCTTGTCAAGATCAGGAAAGTCTTTTGAGTCGTACCAAACGTAACAGTGTCACCTCTGATCTATTTCAAACGTGGTTATCAACCAGTTCACCTGCTAAACGTAGCAGAAGTCCTAGCAGGTAAATTTCAATAAAAATCATAATAATAAACAGATGTGTGCAGATCACACACGGTAGAAGTGAAAGCTTCAAAGAAAACCAAGCTTCGAGACAGACGTGAATATATCGAAACAAAATTGAATTGTAATACAGTGCCATCTATTGAAAGAACCTTACAGAACCTAATAAAAAAAAAAAAATTGCTATAAAAATTGTGCTATGTGCTAAGTTAGATAAAATCACGTGAAATCAAATTAATTTCATTAAGATAAGTTGTGTAGTTTCGGAATTATTAGTGGACAAACATATTGTTACACTAAATTTTTATATATTGAATTTTATTAATTAATTAATTATTTTTATTTCATCGGGGTTTCACGGTTTCTTCCGTTTCACGATTTTCAAATCACATCCCAATTCTAAAGAAATTTCCACTTGAAAAAAATTTAATCTATAGGACAACAGTAAAATTAGTTTGGCAAAGATTTGATAATTATCAAAATTTTTGTATATTTTTTAAACAATTTTATTATTATTAAATTAATTATCTAAACGTTTGAACGAGAGAAAGAGAGAGTGAGATATTAGCTTAAATTTTTCATGATAAATTATTCCAATCTTTCGTATCATTCATCATCATAATATCCGACATAGATAACGTTTAAATAAAAAAAATGTCATGGGGAACCATGTTAACGTTCATAAAAGCGCGTAATAATTTCAACGTTGATTTTTCTAACCATGCGATAACTCATCGGTAGATTCATGTAATCTTCGTTTCTACATCGTAATAATATATTTCTAATACAAAGGGTATGGTGAATTTTAGGGCATCAATATCGTTAATGGGTCGTCGAGAAGAACTCAATAGACTGGATGAAAGCGACCTATTTATGGAACTCATAAGGGACGTAGCGAACGAACTGGACATCAATGTACTTTGTCATAAAATTTTGGTCAATGTTGGATTATTAACTTATGCTGATCGTGGTAGTTTATTTCTTGCTAAAGGACCACTCGAGGATAGATATTTGGTAGCTAAACTATTCGATGTTACGCAAGATACCGAACTCGAGGAAGCTGTGCAACGTGCAAAAAATGAAGAAATAAGAATACCTTTTGGTGTTGGTATTGCTGGTTATGTTGCACAAACTAAGGAGATTATCAACATTAAGGATGCTTACAAGGTTCGATGTGAGAAACTAAATTAAAAAAGGGAATAATTTGTATTTATTGTTTTTTCTTTTTTTTTTTGTAAATTTTATTAACGTAGGGGTATTATATTATTATTTTATATTTATAAATAACGTTAGGGTTGATTTATAATTGATGACTGTGGCTCACAATCAGTCCGATACACACGACTTTAAGTCAACCGCCATTTGTTTGAATCTTATCGAACTAACAGAGATAATCATGACTCTTTGTTAATAAACAAATAATATTGAGATATAAATCCTATCCTATCTTTCAAGTTGGATGATACTGCATACAGTGTGCAAAATTTAATTTAAATCGGTTCAGTAGTTTAAGAGTCCATTGCGGACAAACAGCGTGACATGTAATTTATATATATTAAGAAGAAGATATAATTAATATTGATATTGTATAAATAATTTATATATTATTATATTATATAGCAAATTTATATAATAAAAATATAATTATTAATTATATTATATAAATTAATTTAGCAAACAAATATATAAAAAAGAAAAAATATAATATTTTATTTATTATTTTATCTATAAAGATAATATATATGTGATTGTTAATATTAAATTGTATTTAACTTTTATACAAATATTTATGAAACGAAGAATAGGAGAATTTAATTGTTATTCTAATTGTTTAATTATTTTTTATTAAATTTTATAGGATCCACGATTCAATAGTACTATCGACATGCGTACGGGTTACAAGACAACACTAATCCTATCGATGCCAATTTGCAATTATGAAGGTGATGTTATTGGTGTAGCACAGATAATCAACAAGACCAATGGTAGCAACGAATTTACCGAAAAGGATGTTGAAGTATTTAAAAGGTAAATTAAAAACAACAAATAAATAAAATGAATAATTTTATCGTTCATATTTTATTGTTCTTTAGATATTTAACCTTCTGTGGGATTGGTATTCAAAATGCACAACTATTCGAGTTATCTGTACAGGAATATAGAAGAAATCAAATTTTACTCAATCTAGCGAGGAATATATTTGAAGAACAAAACAATCTCGAGTGTTTGGTAACGAAAATTATGACGGAAGCTAAAGAGTTGCTGAAGTGCGAAAGATGTGCGGTTTATTTGCTTGATCTGGATTGCGGCGAGGCGGTAAATATATCAAAAACAAAACAAAACAAATTATTATTATTATTAATTAACATTGAAGAAACTTGAAAGTTCATTGCTGCAAATACCAAATCCTGCCAGTGTTCCCTGAGAACGCGATTTAAAAAATAATTAATAATAAAAATATCGAATGTATAAAACAAATTTACCAAAGCATTTACAAAATAATAATAATAATTATTATTATTATAAATTATATATTTAATATTTATTTTATTATTATTATTAATTGGCATTAAGAACTTGAAAGTTCATTGCTGCAAATACCAAATCCTGCCAGTGTTCCCTGAGAACGCCATTTAAAAAATAATTAATAATAAAAATATCGAATGTATAAAACAAATTTAACAAAACATTAACAAAATAATAATAATAATTATTATTATTATTATTAATCGGCATTAAGAACTTGAAAGTTTATTGTCACAAATACCAAATTCCGCCAGTGTTCTCATCCCTGTGTGCGACCCTTCCATTCACTGTCTTCATAGACAATTTTATTTTCTACAAAAAAGGTTATATACAAAAATATTGTATCTCTCTTACTTTTCGAGATATATAAAAAAAAAAAAAAAAATACAAAGATAAAAATAAATCGTAAAATAGATGATATCTATTTATAATTAAATAATATAATAAAAATAATAACAAATATTAATAATAATATAAATCGGATGGATAAATAAGATTTAGTTTGATTTTAGGGTCATCTCGAAAAGATCGTCGAGCGACCCGGTAAATCGATTCAAGAAAACAGAAAACCATTGTCCAGGAGAGAGGTAAGCAAGTACAATGGTACACGTATTAATGATTCTCGAGTCTCTGATCATTATCTTACCTTTAACGACGGCACAGAGCAATAACATCGATATGGAGGATATCTTTCAACAGCACGTAAGCCATACAAACTATTATGAAATAAACCACAGCAAATATATCTGAGATAGATAAATCTATTAATTGGTTAATGGTAAAATTATATATAATAATACAATATATATATGTATATATATATGTATATATATATATATATATATATTCTATACACAAAACAAGAGAGATTATTAATGTAAACAAATGATTTCATTTATAAAGATATCTTCGTCTCGTAGAGTTCGAGCGAAAGCAATAAGTTCACTATGATGTTCGAAATGGATAACGAAACCCAAGAGGCACGGGTGTATCGACCAAGTTCCAATGATCTTTCCAGTCCATTGGGTCAAATAGCGAGATACGTTGCAGTAACTGGACAAATTCTCAACATAGGTGATGTGGCTAGTTGGTTGAAGAAAGAAGTTGTGGACACTGAGAAGGAACCAACTAAGAGTATCCTCTGTATGCCGATTGCCAATGGTCAAAGAATTATCATAGGTGTTGCTCAATTGATTAACAAGGTATTCTTTCAAATATAATAATAATACTAATTGCGAAAAATTAATTCAATGTAATTATAGGACAATGGTACATCGTTCACCGATTCAGACGTCTCCATCTTCGAAGCATTCGCAATATTTTGTGGGCTTGGTATACACAATACACAAATGTACGAGTCAGCTTGCAAACTTATGGCAAAGCAAAAGGTCGCTTTGGAATGTCTAAGTTATCACGCAACAGCCAACAACGATGATGCATTGAAATTAACCACCGATACTATTCCATCGGCTGAAAAGTTCAATCTTTACAGCTTCACGTTTACGGATTTTGATCTAACTGATGAGGATACTTGTAGAGCAACATTAAGAATGTTCAAACAGTGCGATCTCATTCAAAAGTTTCATATACCTTACGACATTCTTTGTAGATGGACTTTAAGCGTGAAAAAAAATTACAGGTATGAAGAACAATTTTTCCTTCATTTTTGGTTTTTTTTCTTTTTTTTTTTTTTTTTGGTTCTGTTTTCTTCCTTTACTCAATTAATTTGTTTCTTTTGTAGACCAGTGAAGTATCACAATTGGCGACACGCATTAAACGTAGCACAAACTATGTTTGCTATGTTGAAGACTGGTAAAATGGAACAGTTCATGACTGACCTTGAAATTCTTGGGCTACTTGTAGCCTGTCTCTGTCATGATCTTGATCATCGTGGTACGAACAATGCATTCCAAACGAAAACGGAATCCCCACTTGCCATATTATATTCCACAAGTACTATGGAACATCATCATTTTGATCAATGTGTCATGATATTAAACTCTGACAGTAATAACATCTTTCAAAATCTTTCTATGGAAGATTATAGAAGAGTAATGAAGGTTGTTGAGAGTGCTATACTTTCGACGGATTTAGCCGTTTATTTTAAGAAAAAGGATCGTTTCATGGAGTTGGTTGATGAGGGTGAATTTGATTGGCAGAGTGAAGAAAAAAAGGAATGTTAGTATAATTAAATTAATATAATTTAACTAGTTGATTTTTTAATTGAATATATATATATATGTGTGTGTATTTTTTATATATTAATGTAAATATTATTTTTTTTAATTTATATATATATATATATATATATATATATATATATATATATATATATATAAGTATGTTGTTGCAGAAAATAAGTATTTACCATTTAAAGGGAACCTTAGTGAGTATTTATAAGAAATACGATCTTACTCTGACATTTTAGTCGACTACGATGAGTCGACGAGTAAGTGTCGCATTTCTAAATTCTTAACCGTTATCAAACGTGCCGAGTAATCAAAATTTCTTTCAAATTTCTTTTGTTCTCTTCATAACAATCGATATGATTCATAAAGTTTATTGGAGGGGGAGGGGGAGGGGGGGTGAGGAATGAGTGTAAGAAAAAAATTAAGGTGTGATGTGACAATTTGCTTAATTACGGCACTGTTATTGATTAAAGTATCAATACAATTTAATCGTGCCCGATTAACAAAAAGGTTTCTTCTAAACGATGTATACTTATTTTCCACAATAACACATTTTCAAACCATCTACTTGTAAATCCTAATAATTAATTTGTTTTTTATTTTGTTGTTTAGTGTTATGTGGAATGATGATGACAGCATGTGACGTTAGTGCAATAGCAAAACCATGGGAGATTCAACATCGAGTAGCTAAATTGGTTGCCGATGAATTCTTCGATCAAGGTGATTTGGAACGATTGCAATTAAATCAACAACCAGTAGCAATGATGGATCGAGAAAAAAGGGACGAGTTACCACAAATGCAAGTTGGTTTTATCGATGTGATATGTATGCCATTGTACAAAGTAATGGCTGATACATTTCCATGGATTATGCCACTTTACGAGGGTACCATGGAAAATAGAAAACATTGGCAAGATTTGGCAGAAAAAGTTGAAATGGGTTTGACTTGGATTGATCGTGATACGATCGAAGAACCAGTTGAAGAATTTGTTTCATTTGAACCAAAAGACATTGAGTTCACATTGCAAACCTTGAACTGTACAAATCCTGATAGAAAGGATCAACAGGTTCAAGAAAAATCAACATTGGCTAGATTTGCATCGTTGAGAAAAGGTAGTCGTACGTTGAGCAAAGGTGTCAGACAACGTTTGAGTAAATCACTTTACGTTAAGACTAATAATTCTGAGGAAAGTAGTAAAAGTAAAGTATTGATTTCTGAAAGAAAAAGTCGTAATAAACTTTGTCTTCTCATTTGACGACTGACGTCAACAACTCTTGAGAGTATACCAGAATGATGATGATGATGATGATGATGATGATGTCTACAAAAACCTAACCAACCTAATCCAAAATCCAAAAACAAAATACAAAAACAGCATCGTTTGTTTGATGATCAACAATGTCAGATCATCGTTTAACGATCTATCAAAATACAATACAATGTGATTTCGTTTTATCGAGATGAACTACTACTACTACTACTACTACTACTACTACTATTCTACTATTCTACTTCTACCAATCGTGAGTTTAAATGTCACAATTAAAATAGAATAGAGTAACGAGAACGAATGCTAATTCGATTTTAACACGATCGAATGGATAATTATACCCCTAACCCACCCCCTAAACCTTATTCTTCTTCTTCTTCTTCCTAACACCACTCTCATCAAATCCTCATTTTATTTTATGCTGAAAAAAAAAAAAGAAAAAATACATATGTGAAACTTTCTATAAAAAAAAAATGATTAATTAAAAATAAGAGACTTACTGGACTCGTAATTTCTGTTTGTTGTTTTTTTTTTTCTTTTTCAAAATGGATACGTCGTAGAGAAAAAAAAAAAATAAAAAATGGACAAAAAAAACAAGTAAAATAAGACAGTATATTTGTAGAAACTAGAAAATATACTTAGTCGAGATATGACTAGGTGTATATATGTATTACAACATACATACATACATACATACATACATACATACAAACAAACATACATACACACTTACAAAAATATACATACGTGAACACATAATTAGGAAAATGAATAATTAATAAGTTAGATCGACATATCGAGGTATATTTCGATATTACGTGAACGATAAATGAAATTAATTAAAAACAAAAATAAACAACGTAAAAGCATATTCTCATTCGATTTTGACAATCTTTTTGTATTATATATCTCGATATTCTTAAATAGACTTTAGTCTAACGATGTGATGGGGGAAAGTGATCGATATCGATTAGTAAATGAAAAAAAAACAAAAAAAACAATGATAACAAATATATGTATGTGTTGATGTGCGTTCTGTATGTGCGTGTCTTTTATGATTTTGTACAAATTACAAAAAAAAAATATATTTATTTGCTATTGGTAACAACAAAATTTGCTGAATTTATCAATAGTTTCAAATATTTCTCATATTTTTTTTTTTTTAAATTTAAAATCGAAAGATTGAGAGTAATTGTAAAATCGTGAAATTTAATTCCTTAATTTTATAATTTGGAAAATTGAAAAGAATATGTAAAAATACTAAACACACACGCATACGGAGGGAGGGGGGAGGGAAAGGATGAGATTGAAATAAAAATTATATGAATAAATAATAAATAAACATATTGAAAAATGTGGGATATACAGGAAAAAAAGAAACAGAAAAGAAACATCGAATCTTTCGTTGTAATTTAAATGATGTTATTCGCTTACGTGATTTATAATTGAAAAAAAAAAGAATAGAAAAGAAAAGAATTTTTAAAAAAAGAACAATAAAAAATTGAAAAATATTAGGTCGAGTCATAAGTAACTTCCGATGTGGCTATGTAAAATCTATTTTTCGTATTTATCTATTACTACTGCCCTATTAGTCCAATACACACGTCTTTAAGTCAACGAATTACCTTATACCTCCATCTGTTAGAATCTTATCGAACTAACAGAGATAATCATGACTCTTTGTTAATAAACAAATAATTCGCAATAAAATAATATTGCGATGATAAATTAAGATATAAACTATCCTATCTTTCAAGTTGGATGAAACTGCACACAKTGTGCAAAATTTGATTAAAATCRGTTCAGTTGTTTAGGAGTCCATTGCGAACAAACAACGTGACACGTAATTTATATACGGATTTTCGATATCACTATATAGATGAGAATTCAGTTAGTCTTCTGTCAACTTTTTTATGCAGTCAATGGTACATTTAACCATTTTTCTTAACCACTGAAATGGATAATAGTAAAAAGTGCATATTCGACATGTAATGCTTTAAGAATTGAAACAAGACAATAGCACTAAAGTGGCAATTGAAAAAATATACAGCGTATACGGTGCAGGACTGATAACTGATAGGGCAGTCAGAAATTGGTTTGTCAAATTCCGTTCTGGAGATATGATTCTTAAAAGATGAACCGAGTGTGCAGGACGTATTTCCGACTTTGATGAACCTTTTAAAGGTAATATTGGAACAAAATCCAATAGATACGTTGAACAATTGCAAAAAGTACAAAAAAAAAGGTGTCTTGCACTTATCAGTCGTAGAAACGCCATTCTTTGTCTCACATAAAAAACGGAAGTTATTTATGACTCGACCTAATACAAAAAGAAAGGAAGAAATCTCAATGCTGATCTCTTCTAGTGTATTAATTATTCTCATCAAAAAAAAAAAAAAAAAAAAAAAAAAGAGAGAAAAAAAAAAAAAAAAAAAAAAAAACAATAATAATAATTAAATGCATCGTTCTACCGATGCGAGGAAAATTTCAAAATGATGTCCTTCATTCAAAACTGGTTTCTAGTCTTTTTGATATAATTAAGAGAATGTGCATAATTATACCTGTTCAGGTATTGATACACGAAATTAAATAAATAAAAAAAAAACAACAACAAATTTCTGAATGTGGTCATAAAAAAAAGTTGAATTTAAAGATATATAAATAAGATGTATGTGTTATGAGTATACATGTATGTTTATGTGCATATATACATGAATATTTGATTTTAATCGAATCATCACGTATTATAAAAATTTGTACATAAAAATATTTGTCATTTTTATTTATTTCATTTTAATTAAAAGATTCTTATTAATTTCTTATAATTAAAATAATTAATCAATTTAAATATATATATATACATATAAGACATTTTATATAGTAAAACAGGACCGTATTTATACAGTTGAAGACCCTAGGCGCATTATTATTAATAGGCCTCAAAAAAAAACGATTATTACAATTAATTAAATTTGTACAGTTTTTTTTTCTTATATAATTTATTGAAAAAAAAAAGAAAATAAAATAAAATAAATGATCGGCATTTCACAATAATAACTTATTGAATAAATTTAATATAACGTTGTATGTAGTATTTGAAAAAAAAAAACAAAACAAAAAAAAAAAACAAAAAGAAAAACAAGAACAAAATTTCAAATAAATTGGTCCAAGTTATAAAAAAAAAAAAGAAATAAATTAATAATTAATAACTAAGTTTATATCTTTTAGATTTTGTTTATAACAAATATATATATATATAGATATTATTTTCAATATTTTATTATTGCTCATTAGTTAATAAGATTTAAATCTAATCTTGCGCCAAATGTATTTTTTATGATTAAATGCGGCCCTAATAAATAAAACAAAAGTAGAGAAAATAAAATCAAAGGATGATGAGAAAAATTATCAAAATAAAGAAAAAACAAACAAACAATGTATACCAAAAAAAAAAATAAGAAAAAGAAAGATTTACATATTATACAACGTAAGAGAATGATTTTCGCGTGTATTATTTTCTTTTGTTTTTTATTATTAAAAAAAAAACATTTAGAAATTACAATCAGGACTATACGAATTTGTAGTCCCGCGTACAGTAAATTGAATCATTGTATCATTTGAAAAATCATTTTTTGGTCCTACTATATTTAAATTAAGTATAACAAACGGTTGTTTTATATATTTTTTTTTTTTTTTTAATGCTCTTCGGCATGAATGGTCATCGTATTTTATCGATCGACCAATTTCGCTATTATTATATAAATATTTACAATATTTTCTTTATTTAACTTTATTTATTTTCTTTTTTATTTTATTTTTTTTTTTTTTTCTTATTCTTCCTACTCACATTTTCATTTTCATTTTCATTTCAATTTTCATTTTAATCATGTTTTTTTTTTTATGCAATATCGGACGTTGCATATTAGAGGCGCAAAGAACGTTTTAATTTAATTTATTTTATTTATTACATACATACATCCATACGTACACATACAAACAGGACATGCATACATATATATATATATCTATATATATGTATGTAGCATTAGTGATGTTGCGACGTTGAAAAAAGATTAAAAAAAAAATAAATAAATAAATGCCCGCGCGCGGTAGAGCCTTTTTATTTTTTTTTTTTTTTTTTTTTTTCAAAAATATGAAAAAGAAGAAGACATTGAGAAGACTACGACCAATCACACAAAGTCGTATTTTATTTTATTTTATTTTATCTTATTTTATTTAAATATTTAATTTATTTAAATGTTTAGTTTAAAAATGTGCATCAAGGAAGCCGTACGTGCGTCATGGCAGTGACACCATCCCCTTTTTTTCTATTTTTTTTTGTCCTCTCTTCTAAAAAAAAAATTATATATATATACACACACAAACATAAATATATATATATATTATATTATATATATAAATATATATATATATAGAAATTCCTTTCACAGCGTCGCATTATCACGTTATAATAATCTCTCGCCTTTCATTGTGATCAAGGAACAAGACGAGATCGTTCACAGAACAAAATTATTATGAATGAATGATATTAAAAGTTAATAAGAAAAATAGAAAGAACAAAATAAAATAGAGAGAGAGAGAGAGAGAGAAAGAAGGCATGATTTACGATCATTGAGTAAATGGGTATAAGAGTAGTTTGATATTATTCATATCAAATCAAAAGAAGATGAAAGATTTTTTTTTTTTAAATAATAAATAAAAAAAATATCTTTAAAATTTATTGCAAATCATGCAAAACGTTTCAGCGTTTCACACCATCTTCTTTGACCCCCCATTCCCGTTCTCCTGTTTCTTTCTGTGCATTACATTATAATATATACGTATATATATTTATTTATTTATTTATTTTATTGATCAAATTTATTATAAATCATGCCCAACCCTTTTTCTTCCTTTCTTTCTTCCTTTTCAATTTCCACCCCTCTGTTTATTGCATATTTGAATTTTATAGATGTATATAACAACAGGGCCGTATTTGTCATATATACAATTGCAAACAACAATAGAAATTTTAAAAATAATCTAATATATTTATTTGTAAAAATCAAAGTCAAAGAAGAAAGATTTTTGTTTAAATATTATTATAATAATAATAATAATAAAAATATGTAGAAATGTTATACAAAATTAAAATAACATTTGTAATTGTTCATTGATCTCAATGGTTAGTTGAGACTAAAAATATTTTTTAAAAAAATATAAATACGGCCTTGAATATTAGAAAAAAAAAAATGACACATTTCTCTTATTTTATCTTTCTCTCTGTCTCTGTCTCTCTCTCTCTCTCTCTCTCTTTCTGTACAACAAAAAGTAAATAAATCTAGATTTGAATTTATTTTTATCATTTAAAGTGTATAGGAATGATAAGAAAAATCGATGATCGTTAAAAAGCAGAAAAACTGGGTCCCATTTCATTTTTATTTCTTTGCTTTTTTTTTTCTGTTTCTATTCCATTTCTATTTTTCTTAATATTCTTTATAATCTTCTTCTTTTTTTTTT